TAATGTTTACTTAGATCTAGATCTAGGCCTTGCCTGTTGCATATATTGCCTATCTTGCACACCAGTTAATATGTTACATCAATCTCGTATTTTCTTTTTGTTGAACATACACTTACTTATACGTTGTACTCTAGGACTTGTATTTGATCTACAGATGAATGATGGAATAGTGTAATTTACTTCTGTACGTCAATTCCAGACAATAATGAATAAAATAAATTAAAATCCTACCTGAAATAACAAACATAACAAAGCTCATCTTAACTATAACAAACAATATAATGTAAAATACTAAATGGCCATAACAAATGAAATGTAAAGTCTTTCTGACCATTGTTAGTGGCCATAAGAAACAAAACAATGTAAAGTATTTCCTGGACATGACAGACACAATAAAGTAAAATCCTATTAGACTATAACAAACAAATGAATGTAACATCCTATCTGGCTATCAATAACTGAGGACTATTTAACCATAACAAACAAAACATAAAATCCTACCTGGCCATAACAAACAATTCCCTAACCATTCTTGATCCTTCTCCAATGAACTTCTGAACCAGTTCTGAACCTGAGACACGAATAAATGTACAATCTGTGTGATGAGCAACAGCACGGGCCAAGAGTGTTTTACCAGTTCCAGGAGGTCCATAAAGTAGTACACCCTAAATTGAAGTATAGAGTTTGGTGTTTTATATACATATCTATACACACATGTACAAAACAAGAACTGTTTCTCTAGCACACCATCTATATTTAACTTTCAGTGTTAAAATATTCTTGCCCAAGAAACAGTTACACCAAAAGTTCAAATTTAAGATCTCTATGAAGATTTTATATCAGGAAAACTTTGCTATTACTAAAGTGAAAGAGAAAAACCTAAATAGCTTCGGATTGAGAAATAAGCTGTATTTTCTGTAACCAATATCAACGTTATATAAAGAAAGTTTTTACTGATTTTCATTTGGTCAATATAAAAATCAATGTAGAATGTTAGTTCATCTCACTGTAATCACTTTCATATTATGTTTCACCTAGAGAAAGCTGTTATTGTATCATGTTTTCTTTACCTTTGGTTGTGCAATTCCTAGAGCTTCAAATAACTCTGGATGTTTGACTGGGAGTTCTATTACTTCTTTGATTTCTTTGATTTGTTTGTCTAATCCACCAACCATCTCATATGTTGAATCAGGAACTTTTTCTACCATCATAAGACTGACCAAGGGATCCACCTGTTGTGAAAGTAGGAAAACACTTAGTATGCCTGATAGATCAATACTTAACTTTTCAAATTACCTTCAAAATTAACTTTAAATGTTTTTATCTTGAAGGTCATCTTGAACACATACATTTTTCTGATAGATATCAATGAGAATCAAGATTCAGAAAAAATATTGCATTTATAAACAAGCAAAAAATAAATATCTATTCAAAAACGTAATCAGTAGGTTAAATCAAAATTGACTTGATAAAAACAAGGTTAAAAATATAAAACAGCAATTGCAAATGGAGTAAAGTCCTTTGACTTCAAAAGTTTTATAACTTTGTGTATAATGATAAGAAAAGGAGGAATATCAGTCATTTTACTTTAGATGCTTTATACAAAAATAGGAAAAAGATGAATACATATATTCTTATATTAAAAAATTTGTATACAGAAATAACAAATGTACAAGCATCAAAGTCCTTTTGTATCAGAAATTAACTGTATAAGAAATACACAAACATCAAAATCCTTTTATATCTAAAGCTTTGCGTATAAAAACAAATGCACAAGCCTCATTCCCTTTAAATAAGAAGCTCTGTATAAAGGAATAACAAATGCAGAAGCATAAGTCCTTTTATATAAGAATAACAAGTGCACAAGCATTAGTTCTATCAGAAGCTATATATATAAAAGTATAAATGCACAATCACTGAAGTCCTTTCATATCAGAAGCTTTGTATATATGACTAACAAACACACAAGAATTAACCCTTTCTTGATGAGTAGGTCATTTTACACGACCTTGAAAAATCATTAAGTTATATATCTGCTAGAATTTTCAATTTATTAAGTGTATCTTTACAAAACTTGGCCAACTTTTAGTAAAGATTATTGATAATTGTACACAAAAAAGAAAAAACAGATTTTTGCTAAACTATTTATAGTAGAAATTTGTCTATGAACTTTTGAAACCTTTACAGAGAAGATCTGAGAACATGGTGATTTTCATGCTAAGAATAAAAAAATACATCTTTCCATTTCATAATTTTTACATTTCATTTGCATAACCTCTAAAACCTCCTAAGTGATTAATAATGGTTGGAGACGGCTTGAGTTGGTAATGAAGAAATACTTTAATATAAGTTTAACACAACAGCAAATGTACAACGCTTCGACAAGATTTTGTCATCATCAGGTACAAGAGGTCACATGACCGGATACTGTTGCAAGACTTAAAAGAGATGTCTTGGCACCCCAGGGAGTTGGTTTAGAGTAGGGTTGTTTTGTTCAATTAAGATAGATTCCTTGATTTTTCATTTGTTTATGTTGGATTCTTTGTGTAAAATGACTGTGTTTTTAATAGATATACTATGTTTTTTTTGAGTTGCAATGGTGAAAAACATGGGGCAGTTTTTATTGTGTTCTGTTAATCTGGTTTCCAATTTTATTCCGGTTTCTCCGATGTAGAATTCTGGGCAGTTATTGCATGTTATTTTGTAAATGACGTTGGTATTGTGTGATTATAAATAATTTTTGTTTAGTAATGATTTTAATTTAGGGCTGACTTTTTGTGAGAATTTGACGTTGACAGGAATATTGTGTTTAATGGCTAGTTTTGTGGATAATTCTTGAGCTGGTTTCAGGAACAAAGGGTAAACTGCAGTGTAATGTACTGTTCCTGAAACCAGCTCAAGAATTATCCACATTTGGACAAAATACTAGATACCTCTTCTAAGTTTTGCAACAGTATCCAGTCATGTGACTTCTTTGTTCAATACTGTATATATATATATATATATATATATATGTACATATATATCCGTGTCAGTGTAAATTACTTGTACCTGATGATGACAAACCTTTGTCGAAACGTTGTACATTTGCTGTTGTGTTAAACTTATATTAAAGTTTTTCTTCATTACTCATTCAAGCAGTCTCCTACCATTATTAGTCTCAAAGTGGGTTCCTCGTCATCAAATTTGACTCCTAAGTGATTATTAAGTTTTTAAGGTAAACCCTCATATTTTATCTATTATTTTCTTTACCCTGACATTAACTGTAGCTAATCATCAATGTACAGTAAAATTAAATTTTGCAAGTTATTAAATAAAACAAACAATTTCAACTGTTTCCCTTTTAGCATACTTTATTTTACTTTTATGGTTTTATAATCTGGCTTGTACAATGTAAAGTTTATTCATTCTCAAAAAGAAACACATCACAATGAGAATACATGAACAGATTCCTGCACAAGGAAAAACTTGAATAAACAAAGCCATACAAGTAGTCTGTATTACATAATTTAAAACTGATGTGTATATATATATATATATATATATCTATGTCTGTCCAAATCCAACTGACAGCATGTCAAAAAAATGATGAATTGGAACAACAATTTACTTTATGTCAATCATAAAACCAATTGAATACAAAATATCTCCTTCACTTTAATAGGTAAATATACATGTTCATAATTAATTTTTAACATTTGACAGTTTTCATTTCATTTATCAATATAATATAAATTCATGCATGTGGGTTTTAAAGATAAGTATTTTATTAAGGCTACATTTTATCTCACCTTGTCACAAGTTTCATGCAATGTCTCAGATTACCAGGTAAAGCAATATTTTGTTAGCATTGTTCGATTGAGACAGTCGCGTGGTGTGAAAGGTCAATTTACATGCACAATTATTATCTCTTTTTCATTAATTATGAAATACATAATCCAAATTGCAAGGGCAAATATACAAATTTTTGACTGTGGAGTTCAATGGTGTGTTAATTTTTTTTTTTTCACTATTTAAAAATTAACAAAATTATTTGCTTGAAAGTTAATGACAGATGGGCAGGATCTGTCATGGGTTGGGAAAATTTATGAAATCATCAGCAATTAGAGAAAGTAGGATTCTGAAACTGCATTTGACTTTGTAATTATCTCTAGATTGTGCTTATGCTAATTTGACAATGTAGATGTTATAATACTGAAGTTATACAAACTAAAAGGTGGAGAACTGAGAGTACTCACATGTCATGTGACAATTAAAGTGAAGATTGAGATTTTTTTTTAATTTTCCTTTGAAATTAAGAAATTAAAACTTATGTAATACAACAATTTGAATTATAAACTACGTTATGATGCTTAATTTTATTGACATACATTGATAATAATTGATTTAATTAAATTTTGAATGTAACTAAAAAAATTGTGACATAAACAAAAGAACCAGAGCTGTACTAAAAGGGTTAGGTTCCCTTATATCAGAAGTTTTGTGCATAGCAATAACATATGTACAAGCATACACCCTCTTGTACCAAAGGTTCTGTAGATAGCAATAACATATGTACAAGCATACACCCTCTTGTACCAAAGGTTCTGTAGATAGCAATAACAAATGCACAAGCATAAACCCTTTTATATCATAAGCTTTGTACATAAGAATAACATGCACAAGCATCAGTCGTTTTAAACTGAAAGCTTTGTACATAAAAATAACATGTATAAGCATCAGTCCTTTTATATCAAAAGCTTTGTATAAAGGATAAGATGCACAAGCACCAGTCCTTTTATATCAAAGCTTTTCACATAAGAATAACATGCACAAGCATTAGTCCTTTTATATCAGAAACTTTGTACATAGGAATAACACATGAACAATTACCAGTACTTTTCATATTAGAAGCTTTGTATAGAAGTATAACAAATATACAAGAATCTGCCCTTTTATTTCCAAAGAGTTTTATATGAACATGAAAAATGGATGAAGATAATTGGTTCCAATTAAGTTTTGTGTAGATGGATAAGAAATGTCAATCCCAAGCTAGATGTTTATGAACTCTTACATCACCATCCAACACTAAACAAAAGATAGCACTGCTTTTTCAATAATACTACTTCACATTGCACATAAACAGTTTAGATATTTTTGACCCACACTAACATTAAAGTTAACTTTTGCATAATACTTTAATCATACAAGACAAACTCAGATGAAGGGTACAGGATTCCTGTTTTAACCAAGGTGTCTATCTGTGTTTAAAAATATCTTATCTTGGAATTTTGTTACCTTGTTTGGTAAAATCTTATGAAGTGTGTAGCTGTCATTGCGGAGAGCTACCCTACAATTTGGCGTAACATCACTGATGTCTATATTCTTATCTATATCCACCACAAATTTGCCTTCTGGGTGAACCTGTACAAAACAATTAGCATTAAGATCATAAGAACAACACTAATACATAGATTACAGAGAAATCAAGGTTACCAGTTTAAAATTTTTAATAGAAATTTCCCTCTGACATCAATATTAGTTTAACAAAAATACTACCTATTTCATCTACATTCATTATGAACAAATACATATCTTATTTTCAGATTTTTTTACATAAATATAAAGAATAACATTTATAATAAGTTACAACTGAAAGCAAGGAAGTGCTCATTAAGCTCTAGAAAATAAATCACTAAACAAATTTATACAGTTTCAAAAAACAGAAAACAACATATTTCCAAACAATCATACCTGTATGTTTAAGCTCAATGTTAAGCACTTGATATCTCTAATACAAACCTTCTGCCAAGTTATGTTTTATATTTGTCAATTTTGATAGAACTGATCCAAATTTTGGCATTGAGTTTAAGTTAATTTTTTAGGACAAGATGTAGCTATACTTAACATCTGTCAGTGTTACATTTTTCCTTACCTGAAAATGTATCCAAGCAAGTGAGAAACAAAGAATAAAACTGAGAAGATCCCCAAACTAGAAGAAGAGACTCAAAGCACTGAAGGTCAAGGAAAGAATTAAAACCAGGACCATATCTACAGAATAAGATTCTCCAGGTCTGGGAGGCTGAAGCAATCATGATTCAGTATGAAGTCAGGATAATAAGGCATTGGTATGCAAACAAAGATCAGATTGAGGGGTGGAGGCAAGAAGATAGTCAGAAGAAGGCTAATGCTGTAATGAAGCCTGAAATTCAGCAAAAAACAACTGGAGGAAGAGAAAAAAAAACCTCATACCTGTGTAAACAATGCAGGAAAGGCTGAAAGTAGGGTTACCTGTTCCCCATTTGCAAGTAAAAATCCACAAGAAAAAGTAGGTGGTGAGAACAGCAGGACAAAACTGTCAAAAAATGAGGCAGGCTCAGCTGAAGCAACAGAATCAAGAATTCTGGATCTGAGATTAGAATGGAACCAGCCTGGTGTATAAAGGCAGTAACATCACTATCAGAGTGCCTCCAGTCACCATCAAAACAGTAAAAAATGACTCTTGAATGTCAGGATCTTGGGTGGTTTCAAAAACATAGATATGTGATTTCATAGTCAATCTGATTCACAAAATCTTTTCTTTAAAGGAGGTCTAGTATGTCCATGATGCATAGGCCTTTTTGAGCTTCATAATGACAAAATTAAAAATTAATTATCAAAGCCTGAACACTAGGTTAATAATGATGGAGAATAGTGTTGCCAAAGAAAGTGTATTGTTGACTCTGGAATACATATCCCAAAATCTCTTAATCTGATTAAGAGAAAAAGTTAAATTAACTCTTTCAGTAAGAGCTCGGTCCAGGGGGATGGACTTTGTGACCATTTTGTGCTCATTATAGTTTTCATGCTATAACTTTTAAATTAGCAAGCATATGTAAACAAAATTTGGCAGATTATCAGTAAACATTACAATGCTTTCATATGCAAAATATCAATTTTTTTTTAAGTCTTAAGGTTTGTTAAGCAATGTTTTTCTCATGCCTTTTTCTTCTTTTTGCATGTTGCCTATCCAAAATGCAAAGTAATTTACATTTTAAGATTAAAATTACTTTTTAGCATCAGAAACTTTTCAAATTTCATCTCCAAAATCTTTATAATGTCCAGATAGTTATCAAACATTTCTCAAGAAAAAACTTTATATTTTATCTGTTATTTTCACTAACAAATCTCTGTAAGGGTTCAGTAGATTTAACCGATCTTGTAACCATAAAAAATTAGGAAATAAATATAAATTATGCCTCTTCATTCTAGAATGAGAACAAATTATAAAATGAAATCATTTAGATTAAATAGCATAAATCTCATAACATCATACATTTATATATATTCATTATTTTTATTATATTGACCTTTCAGCCATGCCTGGTGAACAGTACAGAAGTTACAATGAAGCAGCACAATAATATAAAACTGACCTTTAGTTTTTACAAAGTGATCTGTCTTGGTTGTGTTTTGGTAGACTATTATTTTGTGAAATATAGTCAGATTTCCATTATTATATGTTATATGTGTATATAGATTATTACTATTTAGAAATAACTTCTTACTTATTTTTCATAAAACATAGAACAGTAAATAAAGAAGCAAAGCAAAAAATTATCTCCTCTAGTTACGACCTTTGTACTCGGTTGCTGCTTGACATAGATTGCTAAGCCTTTTAAAATTTGCACATAGTTTTTAGGTTTTATATATACATCTGAATAACCAAAAAAGCATAAATTTCTATATTGATACCACAGAATTCCACTATAATAAATCAAGCTTTGTAACTAAGCTTCATTTCAGTCTAAAAAAATATGAAATTTCGAGCAGACTAAAGACACAACCTACTTCCTTGAAATCTAAGTTTGAAAGAAAGAGATGGCATCAAAACACGTTAAAATGGTTGAAAAAGTCACTAAGGGGACATTCTGAGCTTTAGATTGGTTATTCACATCATATATTGAAGTAAGTGTATATAAGGGACCATTTTCAAAAATGGAAAAAGGTGAGTGGGGCCACTGTTTTGATTCAATACATGAGTGTTATCTCAGCAAATAGAAAAGATATGAGGTTCTTATTTTATATTCTAGCTTGTAAATATCGGTAATTTGAGTTCCTAATTTGTAT